ATAAGATAGCAAATAGTTCTGAAAGTTGCGTTAAACACCAACAAACAATCAATTAATCAATCAATATACAATTATGAATAATGGATAACCGAGTTTGTTATTGCCCGACATTGTTAAAAGCCGATTTATCTAGCAGCGAATGTTATGCACGAGGATAAAAGCTTATGTGAACGGTTACTGCCAGTCACCACTTATAAAAAAAGTAGTGCTGCATATACCTACGCGTATTATCATATACAATATTATAGGTGCCTGCAGATCACACCATAATTTATCTGTATCTAATGTGCCTGGAGGTCCCACCAAAAATGTATCTGTACCATAGGTGCCTGCAGATCACATCACTTGAACAAGATCTGTAACATAGGCTTTCATTTGAGTCTGCAGGTCACACTGCTTACTATCTGTATCATAGCCTATAATATATGCCTGCGTGTCACATCTCCATAGATTTGCGCAGTATGCTATTAAAGGTGCCTGCAGGTCACACTTTCATTTATATATCTGTATGGTAGGTGCCTGCAGGGCACATCACTATAGCTTTGCACAAATATATATAAAAGGAAGATGTGGTATGATTGCTAATAAGACAACTCTCCACAATAGACCCAATGACACAAAAATTAACAATTATAGGTTCCCTAACGGCACTGTTTAATAATGCACAACCCATACCGCATAGTCAGCTATATTAACGGTCTAATTTAAGTACAAAAAAATTAACGAAAAATAAATTTGTAACACAGCAACCAATTACAACCAATGGATTACCGGTTCATGACTTGGGACAGGCACATACATAATTTGGCGGGGTTAAACTACATGGAGGCGCCAACCCTCTCCTAACCTGGGAGTGTGGTGTAACAGTAGAACATAATAACAACAAATAAAAACAGTTGAAAAAGGCAGGTCACATCAAATAAATAGAAATAGAAATTCATCTTACAAAACACAAAGTGGACGTTGACGGGTACTTATTCATGCGAATAAAAAAAGTACATATCTGATAGTACTCGCAGTTGTCATAGGTGCCTGTTGTTTATTTCACTTATGATCTGCTCCATAGCCTATCATAGGATCCTGCAAGTGACACTGCTATTTATCAGTATCATAGCCTATCATAAATGTGTGCAGGTCACATCACCATAGATCAAAGCCTATCATGGGTGCCTGCAGGTCTCACAGCTTTTTATCTGTACCTAAGTCCATCATAGGTGACTGAAGGTCACATCACCATAAATCTACACTATAGACTATCATAGGTGCTTGTATGTCACACGGCATATTTATCTGTACCATATAATAGGTACCTGCAGGTCACATTACCATAGATCTGTATCATAGTCTATCAGAGGTGCCTGTCGGTCTCTTTACTACAGATCTCCACTATAGTCTATCACAGGTGCCTGTAGGTCATTCAACATTTTATCTGCACCATAACCTATCATAGGTAACTGTAGGTCACACTACTATTTGACTGAACCTTAGCCTATCACAGGTGCCTGTAGGTCACACTGCTATTGAACTGAACCTTAGCCTATCACAGGTGCCAGTAGGTCACACTGATATTTCACTGCACCTTAGCCTATCACAGGTGCCTGTAGGTCACACTGCTATTTAACTGTATCTTAGTCAATCATGGGTGCCTGTAGGTCACACTGCTATTTAACTGAACCCAAGCCTATCACAGGTGCCTGTAGGTCACACTGCTATTTAACTGTACCTTAGCCTATCATAGGTGCATGTAGGTCACACAGCTTTTTTTTTCTATATCCCATCATAAGTGACTGTAAGTTATCATAGGAGCCTGTAGGTCACACACAGTCTTTTGTATGTACCATATCCAATCATAGGTGCATGTATTTCATACCACTTCTTTGTGAACCATACAGGCCATACGACATTTTATCTGTACCATAGCCTATCATATGTGCCTTCAAGTCACATGTGCGCATAACAATATATCTGCATCATAGCCTATCATTGGTCTATAATATGTGCTTGTAGGTCACTTCACAATAGATCTGCACCATAGTCAATCATAGATGCCTACAGGTCACATCACCATATTTGTTTACCTTAGCCTTTCATAGTAGCCTGCAGGTCACACTGCTATTTATTTATACCATAGCCTATCATAGGTGCATGTAGGTCACACAGCTTTTTTTTTTACTATATCCCATCATAAGTGACTGTCAGTTATCATAAGAGCCTGTAGGTCACACAGTCTTTTTTATGTACCATATCCAATCATAGGTGCATGTATTTCACACCACTTCTTTGTGAACCGTATCACATCATAGTGCTTGCAGATTTATTAAAGGTGCCTGTAGGTCACACCGCTTTTATAGGCACCTATGAAAGGATATGTAAATATCAGGATGACTTACAGCCCCCTATATTATGATATTATGGATGAATACCATGGTGACCTAGCTACAGGAACATATGATAGGATATGTAAAATAAAAGGGTGACATACAGGAACCTGTGATTAGTTTTTGTAAATAACCGGGTGACAAACAGGCACATATAATGTGATATGGAAAATAACGAGGGGACCTACATGTACATGCATTTATAATATGACATGTTAGACAACAGGGTGACGTATACATATATATATATAAGCACCGTTGAAATTACTGGCAAAGATCAAAAGCAGTGTGACATGCAGTCACCTATGATATAATATGGTGCAGATCAGTAACAGGGTGACTTACAGGCACTTTTGATAATTAAAGAGGAAATGGTAAAGATGAACAGAATTATAATCTCCATGATTTGGAAGAAACTTATTATACTTTTGATAGGAAATGTTACAGATCAACAACAAGGTGACCTAAATGCGCTTTTGAAAGTATATGATACAGATCAATAGCAATGTGACCTCTTGCACCTTTGATATAATATAGTACAGATTAATAGCATTGTGATCTATAGGCACATTTGAAATGATATGGTACAAATCAATATCAGGGTGACCTGCAGGCACCTCAGATAATCATGGTACAAATCAATACCAGGGTGACCTACAGGCACCTCAGATAGTTATGTTACATAGCAATAGCAGGGTGAACTACAGGCACCTCAGATAATTATGGTACAAATCAATATCAGGGTGACCTACAGGCACCGCAGATAACTATGGTACATAGCAATAGCAGGTTGAACTACAGGCACCTCAGATAACTCTGGTACATAGCAATAGCAGGGTGAACTACAGGCACCTCCGATAACTATGGTACATAGCAATAGCAGGGTGACCTACAGGCACCTCCGATAACTATGGTACATAGCAATAGCAGGGTGAACTACAGGCACCTCCGATAACTATGGTGCATAGCAATAGCAGGGTGAACTACAGGCACTTCAGATAACTATGGTACATAGCAATAGCAGGGTGAACTACAGGCACCTTAGATAACTATGGTACATAGCAATAGCAGGGTGACCTACAGGCACCTTAGATAACTATGGTACATAGCAATAGCAGGGTGACCTACAGGCACCTCCGATAACTATGGTACATAGCAATAGCAGGGTGAACTACAGGCACCTCCGATAACTATGGAACATAGCAATAGCAGGGTGAACTACAGGCACTTCAGATAACTATGGTACATTGCAATAGCAGGGTGAACTACAGGCACCTTAGATAACTATGGTACATAGCAATAGCAGGGTGACCTACAGGCACCTCAGATAATTATGGTACATAGCATTATTATACTTCCTGTAAGAATGTCCTTCTATAGTTAAATTACTCTATTTTTGCATAGTTTTTAAAAGAAATATATAGCGTTAACTGCACTATGCGAAAATAGTATGTCTTGCTGTTGCAATAGACTATTGATTTTAACGTCAATCATTGTTTGATTTCACGCGAAAAGGCGGAGCTTTGTTGCATTGACAGACAAGTGGGCTGGACTTATTAGCCTGATCATATGTGCGCTTGAAATAACGATGTTATAAACCACTAATTAAAGTCGCTTAATGACTATACTGTCGTCTGCAAAAAAACAAAACAAGCAAGATGTCGCGGTTTGGTCAAGACGACCCTACAACATTTAGAAAAGAGAACTTTAAGTCCAAGAAAACTGGTCAACAAACAAATTTTGCTGTTAAAGTTTTGTCAGATTTCATTGTTGAAAGAGGTATGGAAATTGACATTTTGGAAGCCACAAAAGATGAAATTGCAAATCTATTGCAAGATTTTTATGCCAACATCCGAAATAAAAGTCAAGAATATTACAAGAAAAACACTCTTCTAGCCATACGACAGAGCATAAATAGATATCTGAAGGAGAACGACAGGTTTTTTGACATAATAACCGACCATGAATTTACCCGAGCGAACGACACTTTTACTTCCCTACTCAGGAAAACGAGAGAAGAGGGGAAATGAACTGTCACCCACCATGAGGCTATCTCACTGGAGGATTTGAAAATGCTTTATGAACACCCACTAGTTTTTAACACGTCAACTCCTCAGGGCTTCCTAAATAAAACTATATTCGAGACAAAGGCTTATATTTCTGCAGAAGGGGTCAAGAAAATCTCTCACAGTTGAAGGTTGATGAATTTAAAGTTGACTCGGATCAAAAAGGGCAGATGTATGTCCGTAAACTTACAACAGAACTAACAAAAAACCACCAAGGTACTACAAATGAGACGGAGGGTACAGGGGGAATGATGTATGCTACTGGCACAGATAGATGTCCTGTTAAGTCTTTTGTTAAATATCTAAAGAAACACAATAATGCAAGTAACAGATTATTCTTGCACCCAAAGAATTCATACAGTGAACAAGATGATATGTGGTTCAGGAACGAACCCATTGGACAAAACACCATAAAAGTGTTTATGAAGAATTTGTCAAAGTCAGCAAAACTATCGAGAGAATACACCAACCACTGTATCCGGTCAACATGCATTACCTTGCTGGACTATAGTGGCTTCCAATCCCGTCACATCAAGACTATCAGTGGTCACAGAAATGAGGCATCTTTATCAAGCTATTGTTATGATACTTCAGGTAAATGCTACACAAATATTTAATATTCATTGTGCAATTGCTCAAATTTGAATACAGTTAAAAGATATATCTATATATCTGACGCAGTACATCATGTGTACATATAATAACAAAAATATACATTGAATTACGACAATATTGTAAGAATATTTCTACTTTCAATATCATAATTGAGTTTATCCAAAATTTTAATGTAAAATCTCAAAACGGTATTGGGTTAAATGTGTGAAATGACTGAGTACAATATTTATATATTCTTTATTCTAATGACTATTGTAAATTTCTTTATTTTATTGTGCATGTTTATAAATTAATTTTACTGTCTGTCAATCATTTTCTGAACTCATATAAATGCTTTCATTGTTTTTTTATAAATACATTTCAGATAAACAGAAAAAGAGTATGTCTGATGCATTAAGTAAATGTACCTATGGAACATTACAACAGACAGAAAGTAGGAGTGTAACTAGTAAGTATAATCATGTAAACTATCAAAATAATCAAAGAAATGCAAAGAAAAAGTAACCGAGGAGAAATGCATGTATTTATTTGTTTTGTTGGTACCATGAAATATAGCACACTACATTGTAGCATTGACTCCCATCAAATATCATAGCACAATAAATTCACATCGATAATTGTATTCTAATATTTGCCACTAAACTTGGGTTGTACTGTTTCAAGATAAGACAAATGTTCATATGGCTCCTTTTGTACATATAGTCTGTATATAATATATAAATAGTTCTCCTTGCATGTAAGATAGTGCAAAAGCAAACTGAATTCTTTATATTACAGTTAGTTTGTCCCAGGAAAAGACTGTTTCTACCTTCACATCGGATGAGAATGAACAGCTAATACCACTATATCCCATCATAAGTGACTGTCAGTTATCATAAGAGCCTGCAGGTCACATAGTCTTTTTTATGTACCATATCCAATCATAGGTGCATGTATTTCACACCACTTCTTTGTGAACCGTATCATATCATAGTGCTTGCAGATTTATTAAAGGTGCCTGTAGGTCACACCGCTTTTATAGGCACCTATGAAAGGATATGTAAATATCAGGATGACTTACAGCCCCCTATATTATGATATTATGGATGAATACCATGGTGACCTAGCTACAGGAACATATGATAGGATATGTAAAATAAAAGGGTGACATACAGGCACCTGTGATTAGTTTTTGTAAATAACCGGGTGACAAACAGGCACATATAATGTGATATGGAAAATAACGAGGGGACCTACATGTACATGCATTTATAATATGACATGTTAGACAACAGGGTGACGTATACATATATATATATAGGCACCGTTGAAATTACTGGCAAAGATCAAAAGCAGTGTGACATGCAGTCACCTATGATATAATATGGTGCAGATCAGTAACAGGGTGACTTACAGGCACTTTTGATAATTAAAGAGGAAATGGTAAAGATGAACAGAATTATAATCTCCATGATTTGGAAGAAACTTATTATGCTTTTGATAGGAAATGTTACAGATCAACAACAAGGTGACCTAAATGCGCTTTTGAAAGTATATGATACAGATCAATAGCAATGTGACCTCTTGCACCTTTGATATAATATGGTACAGATTAATAGCATTGTGATCTATAGGCACATTTGAAATGATATGGTACAAATCAATATCAGGGTGACCTGCAGGCACCTCAGATAATCATGGTACAAATCAATACCAGGGTGACCTACAGGCACCTCAGATAGTTATGTTACATAGCAATAGCAGGGTGAACTACAGGCACCTCAGATAATTATGGTACAAATCAATATCAGGGTGACCTACAGGCACCGCAGATAACTATGGTACATAGCAATAGCAGGTTGAACTACAGGCACCTCAGATAACTCTGGTACATAGCAATAGCAGGGTGAACTACAGGCACCTCCGATAACTATGGTACATAGCAATAGCAGGGTGACCTACAGGCACCTCCGATAACTATGGTACATAGCAATAGCAGGGTGAACTACAGGCACCTCCGATAACTATGGAACATAGCAATAGCAGGGTGAACTACAGGCACTTCAGATAACTATGGTACATTGCAATAGCAGGGTGAACTACAGGCACCTTAGATAACTATGGTACATAGCAATAGCAGGGTGACCTACAGGCACCTCAGATAATTATGGTACATAGCATTATTATACTTCCTGTAAGAATGTCCTTCTATAGTTAAATTACTCTATTTTTGCATAGTTTTTAAAAGAAATATATAGCGTTAACTGCACTATGCGAAAATAGTATGTCTTGCTGTTGCAATAGACTATTGATTTTAACGTCAATCATTGTTTGATTTCACGCGAAAAGGCGGAGCTTTGTTGCATTGACAGACAAGTGGGCTGGACTTATTAGCCTGATCATATGTGCGCTTGAAATAACGATGTTATAAACCACTAATTAAAGTCGCTTAATGACTATACTGTCGTCTGCAAAAAAACAAAACAAGCAAGATGTCGCGGTTTGGTCAAGACGACCCTACAACATTTAGAAAAGAGAACTTTAAGTCCAAGAAAACTGGTCAACAAACAAATTTTGCTGTTAAAGTTTTGTCAGATTTCATTGTTGAAAGAGGTATGGAAATTGACATTTTGGAAGCCACAAAAGATGAAATTGCAAATCTATTGCAAGATTTTTATGCCAACATCCGAAATAAAAGTCAAGAATATTACAAGAAAAACACTCTTCTAGCCATACGACAGAGCATAAATAGATATCTGAAGGAGAACGACAGGTTTTTTGACATAATAACCGACCATGAATTTACCCGAGCGAACGACACTTTTACTTCCCTACTCAGGAAAACGAGAGAAGAGGGGAAATGAACTGTCACCCACCATGAGGCTATCTCACTGGAGGATTTGAAAATGCTTTATGAACACCCACTAGTTTTTAACACGTCAACTCCTCAGGGCTTCCTAAATAAAACTATATTCGAGACAAAGGCTTATATTTCTGCAGAAGGGGTCAAGAAAATCTCTCACAGTTGAAGGTTGATGAATTTAAAGTTGACTCGGATCAAAAAGGGCAGATGTATGTCCGTAAACTTACAACAGAACTAACAAAAAACCACCAAGGTACTACAAATGAGACGGAGGGTACAGGGGAATGATGTATGCTACTGGCACAGATAGATGTCCTGTTAAGTCTTTTGTTAAATATCTAAAGAAACACAATAATGCAAGTAACAGATTATTCTTGCACCCAAAGAATTCATACAGTGAACAAGATGATATGTGGTTCAGGAACGAACCCATTGGACAAAACACCATAAAAGTGTTTATGAAGAATTTGTCAAAGTCAGCAAAACTATCGAGAGAATACACCAACCACTGTATCCGGTCAACATGCATTACCTTGCTGGACTATAGTGGCTTCCAATCCCGTCACATCAAGACTATCAGTGGTCATAGAAATGAGGCATCTTTTTCAAGCTATTGTTATGATACTTCAGGTAAATGCTACACAAATATTTAATATTCATTGTGCAATTGCTCAAATTTGAATACAGTTAAAAGATATATCTATATATCTTACGCAGTACATCATGTGTACATATAATAACAAAAATATACATTGAATTACGACAATATTGTAAGAATATTTCTACTTTCAATATCATAATTGAGTTTATCCAAAATTTTAATGTAAAATCTCAAAACGGTATTGGGTTAAATGTGTGAAATGACTGAGTACAATATTTATATATTCTTTATTCTAATGACTATTGTACATTTCTTTATTTTATTGTGCATGTTTATAAATTAATTTTACTGTCTGTCAATCATTTTCTGAACTCATATAAATGCTTTCATTGTTTTTTTATAAATACATTTCAGATAAACAGAAAAAGAGTATGTCTGATGCATTAAGTAAATGTACCTATGGAACATTACAACAGACAGAAAGTAGGAGTGTAACTAGTAAGTATAATCATGTAAACTATCAAAATAATCAAAGAAATGCAAAGAAAAAGTAACCGAGGAGAAATGCATGTATTTATTTGTTTTGTTGGTACCATGAAATATAGCACACTACATTGTAGCATTGACTCCCATCAAATATTATAGCACAATAAATTCACATCGATAATTGTATTCTAATATTTGCCACTAAACTTGGGTTGTACTGTTTCAAGATAAGACAAATGTTCATATGGCTCCTTTTGTACATATAGTCTGTATATAATATATAAATAGTTCTCCTTGCATGTAAGATAGTGCAAAAGCAAACTGAATTCTTTATATTACAGTTAGTTTGTCCCAGGAAAAGACTGTTTCTACCTTCACATCGGATGAGAATGAACAGCTAATACCACTATATCCCATCATAAGTGACTGTCAGTTATCATAAGAGCCTGTAGGTCACACAGTCTTTTTTATGTACCATATCCAATCATAGGTGCATGTATTTCACACCACTTCTTTGTGAACCGTATCATATCATAGTGCTTGCAGATTTATTAAAGGTGCCTGTAGGTCACACCGCTTTTATAGGCACCTATGAAAGGATATGTAAATATCAGGATGACTTACAGCCCCCTATATTATGATATTATGGATGAATACCATGGTGACCTAGCTACAGGAACATATGATAGGATATGTAAAATAAAAGGGTGACATACAGGCACCTGTGATTAGTTTTTGTAAATAACCGGGTGACAAACAGGCACATATAATGTGATATGGAAAATAACGAGGGGACCTACATGTACATGCATTTATAATATGACATGTTAGACAACAGGGTGACGTATACATATATATATATAGGCACCGTTGAAATTACTGGCAAAGATCAAAAGCAGTGTGACATGCAGTCACCTATGATATAATATGGTGCAGATCAGTAACAGGGTGACTTACAGGCACTTTTGATAATTAAAGAGGAAATGGTAAAGATGAACAGAATTATAATCTCCATGATTTGGAAGAAACTTATTATACTTTTGATAGGAAATGTTACAGATCAACAACAAGGTGACCTAAATGCGCTTTTGAAAGTATATGATACAGATCAATAGCAATGTGACCTCTTGCACCTTTGATATAATATGGTACAGATTAATAGCATTGTGATCTATAGGCACATTTGAAATGATATGGTACAAATCAATATCAGGGTGACCTGCAGGCACCTCAGATAATCATGGTACAAATCAATACCAGGGTGACCTACAGGCACCTCAGATAGTTATGTTACATAGCAATAGCAGGGTGAACTACAGGCACCTCAGATAATTATGGTACAAATCAATATCAGGGTGACCTACAGGCACCGCAGATAACTATGGTACATAGCAATAGCAGGTTGAACTACAGGCACCTCAGATAACTCTGGTACATAGCAATAGCAGGGTGAACTACAGGCACCTCCGATAACTATGGTACATAGCAATAGCAGGGTGACCTACAGGCACCTCCGATAACTATGGTACATAGCAATAGCAGGGTGAACTACAGGCACCTCCGATAACTATGGTGCATAGCAATAGCAGGGTGAACTACAGGCACTTCAGATAACTATGGTACATTGCAATAGCAGGGTGAACTACAGGCACCTTAGATAACTATGGTACATAGCAATAGCAGGGTGACCTACAGGCACCTCAGATAACTATGGTACATAGCATTATTATACTTCCTGTAAGAATGTCCTTCTATAGTTAAATTACTCTATTTTTGCATAGTTTTTAAAAGAAATATATAGCGTTAACTGCACTATTCGAAAATAGTATGTCTTGCTGTTGCAATAGACTATTGATTTTAACGTCAATCATTGTTTGATTTCACGCGAAAAGGCGGAGCTTTGTTGCATTGGCAGACAAGTGGGCTGGACTTATTAGCCTGATCATATGTGCGCTTGAAATAACGATGTTATAAACCACTAATTAAAGTCGCTTAATGACTATACTGTCGTCTGCAAAAAAACAAAACAAGCAAGATGTCGCGGTTTGGTCAAGACGACCCTACAACATTTAGAAAAGAGAACTTTAAGTCCAAGAAAACTGGTCAACAAACAAATTTTGCTGTTAAAGTTTTGTCAGATTTCATTGTTGAAAGAGGTATGGAAATTGACATTTTGGAAGCCACAAAAGATGAAATTGCAAATCTATTGCAAGATTTTTATGCCAACATCCGAAATAAAAGTCAAGAATATTACAAGAAAAACACTCTTCTAGCCATACGACAGAGCATAAATAGATATCTGAAGGAGAACGACAGGTTTTTTGACATAATAACCGACCATGAATTTACCCGAGCGAACGACACTTTTACTTCCCTACTCAGGAAAACGAGAGAAGAGGGGAAATGAACTGTCACCCACCATGAGGCTATCTCACTGGAGGATTTGAAAATGCTTTATGAACACCCACTAGTTTTTAACACGTCAACTCCTCAGGGCTTCCTAAATAAAACTATTTTCGAGACAAAGGCTTATATTTCTGCAGAAGGGGTCAAGAAAATCTCTCACAGTTGAAGGTTGATGAATTTAAAGTTGACTCGGATCAAAAAGGGCAGATGTATGTCCGTAAACTTACAACAGAACTAACAAAAAACCACCAAGGTACTACAAATGAGACGGAGGGTACAGGGGGAATGATGTATGCTACTGGCACAGATAGATGTCCTGTTAAGTCTTTTGTTAAATATCTAAAGAAACACAATAATGCAAGTAACAGATTATTCTTGCACCCAAAGAATTCATACAGTGAACAAGATGATATGTGGTTCAGGAACGAACCCATTGGACAAAACACCATAAAAGTGTTTATGAAGAATTTGTCAAAGTCAGCAAAACTATCGAGAGAATACACCAACCACTGTATCCGGTCAACATGCATTACCTTGCTGGACTATAGTGGCTTCCAATTAATCCCGTCACATCAAGACTATCAGTGGTCACAGAAATGAGGCATCTTTATCAAGCTATTGTTATGATACTTCAAGTAAATGCTACACAAATATTTGATATTCATTGTGCAATTGCTCAAATTTGAATACAGTTAAAAGATATATCTATATATCTTACGCAGTACATCATGTGTACATATAATAACAAAAATATACATTGAATTACGACAATATTGTAAGAATATTTCTACTTTCAATATCATAATTGAGTTTATCCAAAATTTTAATGTAAAATCTCAAAACGGTATTGGGTTAAATGTGTGAAATGACTGAGTACAATATTTATATATTCTTTATTCTAATGACTATTGTACATTTCTTTATTTTATTGTGCATGTTTATAAATTAATTTTACTGTCTGTCAATCATTTTCTGAACTCATATAAATGCTTTCATTGTTTTTTTATAAATACATTTCAGATAAACAGAAAAAGAGTATGTCTGATGCATTAAGTAAATGTACCTATGGAACATTACAACAGACAGAAAGTAGGAGTGTAACTAGTAAGTATAATCATGTAAACTATCAAAATAATCAAAGAAATGCAAAGAAAAAGTAACCGAGGAGAAATGCATGTATTTATTTGTTTTGTTGGTACCATGAAATATAGCACACTACATTGTAGCATTGACTCCCATCAAATATTATAGCACAATAAATTCACATCGATAATTGTATTCTAATATTTGCCACTAAACTTGGGTTGTACTGTTTCAAGATAAGACAAATGTTCATATGGCTCCTTTTGTACATATAGTCTGTATATAATATATAAATAGTTCTCCTTGCATGTAAGATAGTGCAAAAGCAAACTGAATTCTTTATATTACAGTTAGTTTGTCCCAGGAAAAGACTGTTTCTACCTTCACATCGGATGAGAATGAACAGCTAATACCACTACCAGTAATAGAGACTGTTTCTGCTGTTAGAAATAGTAAGAGACAAGGTATTTTCTCCTTTTTATTTTTGTATTCAGGTACTATTGAAATAGTATTAACTATTCAACATATATTTTGTGTCAACAACATGAAATAAATGACAAAATGTTTGTCACATAGTCTTCAACAATGAGATCTTCCTTAAAGCCACTCTCCTACATGTCCCGTTACATATAATGGAGTTCATGAACAAAATGGCATTCAGGTGACTTAATTACATATTTAACACATGTAAATACATTTATGTCTCAACATTCTTCAATACATTTAAAAATGAAAGTACGCTTTTACTTGTTTTTGATAGTACAAATGATGTACCGCTATATGTGTAAATATGGCAAAGAACTATTTGTGCAACTTTTTTTTATGTTCAACTAGAATAATTTGTTATCTAATAGTATTGGTACTTTGTTCACACTCAAAAGCTGATTTTGTTTAAATTATTTCAGTTGAAACTGCACCATATGATCCAGATATCATTGACTTTCTGGGACTACCTGATGATGTTTTGGTGGACTATTGCCAATCAGTGGAGAATTCTGACCACCAAATAAGTGCCCCAAAGCAAATGAAGATGATGCCATTGATGAATATTTCAAATTGTACTGTTAATATCAAATATTACAATAATTGAATTTGAACAATAATGGAAAATACATTGTAGTAGATATTATTTGAATTATGCGGACATTTAAGAGACTTTAAAATACCGTAGTTTCTGTTCAAACTTTATTTTATATTTGTTTACATATGTTTACTGCTATTGAAACCAAAATAGTCATTTGTTACAGATAAATTGTAATAAATGAAATTTACTGTTAATATTACTTGTTTTTTTTTAAGTTATAGAGTACTGTGGAGAAGGTTAATAAATGAAATGGAAGAGGTTTGAAGTACACCTTCTTGAGACAAATCCAAAATAATACAGGGTAAACAAATCTAGGACATAATGCTTTAATTGTACTTCTTCATCTTGAATTGAACATGAGTTTAAGCTTTCAACAATGAGCAAACCGCTGGAACCTTATAGCAAGTTTAACACAACTTCTAGCACCAGGCCAACCAGTATTCTATTGTATTTCAATAATGATTTATATTCAGATACAGAGTTAAGATCAATCATTTCACCTCAAAACATACTATTGAATCAATTCCTTTGTTAATCTTTCTAGCAGCTATGAAGACAAAGTCAAAGTCTCGTTAAGACAGCAAATATATGTTGATAAGGTTACATAAAAGGCATTTTTTTACATTGAAATACACTATTGTCACTATTCAAAATAGTAAACAGTCAGTATAATAATGATATTAATGTTGTGTTTAACATTGACTATGGAAAATAGTAGCCAGGGTTTGAGACAATAGTGCACTCCCCTTCGGGTCGTGCACTATTGTCTCTCACCCTGGCTATTATTTTCACATAGTCAATGTTAAGCACAACATTATTATATAAATAGCAGGGTGAACTACAGGCACCTCACATAATTATGATACATAGCAATAGCAGGGTGAAATACAGGCACCTCAGATAACTATGGTACATAGCAATAGCAGGGTGAACTACAGGCACCTCAGATAATTATGGTACATAGCAATAGCAGGGTGAACTACAGGCACCTCAGATAACTATGGTACATAGAAACAGCAGGGTGAACTACAGGAACCTCCGATAACTATGGTACATAGCAATAGCAGGGTGAACTAAAGGCACCTCACATAATTATGATACATAGCAATAGCAGGGTGAAATACAGGCACCTCAGATAACTATGGTACATAGCAATAGCAGGTTGAACTACAGGCACCTCAGATAATTATGGTACATAACAATAGCAGGGTGAACTACAGGCACCTCAGATAACTATGGTACATAGAAATAGCAGGGTGAACTACAGGAACCTCCGATAACTATGGTACATAGCAATAGCAGGGTGAACTACAGGCACCTCACATAATTATGATACATAGCAATATCAGGGTGAAATACAGGCACCTCAGATAACTATGGTACATAGCAATAACAGAGTGACACACAGGCACCGCAGATTATAATGGTACATATCAATAGCAGGGTGACCTACAGGCACTGCAGATGATTATGGTACAGATCAATAGCATGGTGACATACAGGCACCGCAGATAATTATGGTACCGATCAATAGCAGGGTGACATAAAGGCACCGCAGATAATTATGGTACCGATCAATAGCAGGGTGACATAAAGGCACCGCAGATGATTATATAACAGATCAATAGGAGGGTGACATACATTTATTAAGATGCCGGTTGCTGCTATCTTGTTGCTTTATCTATGTGCCTGGAAGTAACCCTGATGGTACATGTTAACCCGACATGTTTACCAGTATTCAGCTTAGAACAGAACAGTTGTTTGGATCGGGCTATACAAGATATAATGTAAGTCAAAACATATAGATGTAAAATTATAGAAAATTAGATTGGCAGAAAAACAAAATATAATTATAATTATTAATTAAGAAAATAAAAGATCTGACACCCACCCGTACTTATCATGCCACGATTAGTTCAATCAAAGCCTTCGTGGACCTCCTACGACACCCATTAGTAGTTAAGATATTCAACAAATTAATATATGACTTGCATGTACATTGTACGTGTTGCTTATACCCCTGCAATGTACCAAAAAGTAAAATAGCAAAAATACGGAAGTCCGAGGAAAATTCTAAACGGAAGGCCCTAGGCAAATGGCAAAATTAAAAGCTCGAACACATCAAATGAACGAAAAACAACTATCATATTCCTGACTTGATACAGGCATTTCTTATATAGAAACGGTGGATTAAACCTGGTTCTATAGCTAGCTAAACCTCTTACCTGTATGACAGTCGCATAAAGTTGCATTATACTGATAACGATGTGTGAACATTATAAACAGACATAATATTTAGTTAAAAATGTCACAAATAGGGGTACAGGAGTCAACATTGTGTTATAATCTTAATCAAATTTCAAACATAATGTATATGTTAACAAAGAAAAACAAAAAGACATATTGACAAAGCTCATATGTTTAGCAAAAACGAAAGACAAGAATACAAAATATAACCATAGCACAATAACACAATGATGGGATGTATAAGTACCGAGTCACGTCTAATTGATACTACCAAAAATAGACTAAGAAAAGCACGTTATTATTAATAAGATGATAAACAAATACAGTACCTATAATCTATACTTCAAAACCATCGTTTATATTTGTAAAGTTGATACGGAATATTTATAAATAAGGTTTTGGTATCTTCCGATTAATGTTTTTTGAAAAAGGACGAGACGTTCTTTGACATACCCCAGTGCGTGACTTTTAACAAAGTCTGTGTAGCATCTGTGTAATTTGCTCCATAGGATGTTTTCAAAATTGCAACGAAAGAAATGTTTTGGCATGACTAATTATCTACTTAAGAATAATGATGCCACCAATGACTTCCACACATGAAGACATACGTGTCCCCCTTTTAAATGAAACTACTGCGGATTGGAAAAAGATCTGTAATGTGGGGTAAAACGGTCAGATTAACATTTAATTAAATTTAAAAGTCAGTATGTATACACGACGTCACTCTTTGACAGCATGAATACCCCCAAAAGGAAAAAAAAACCACTGCAACATTTAAGGAAGGAAAAGGAAACTAGGCGCCACTGAAACAACATTTGAACTAAGACGAAGTTCACCTGTTGATTCAGTTCACTTAAAATATGCCCCTGCATGTAAATTGTTTCTGGATTCCAAATTTGGTTGCTGTAAAACGCTATTTTCACGAAATAAATAAGTTGATTTTTTTTAAAAGTCAAGGGCTTGGTTTCGATTCATCTTAAGACAAATTTTATGACCATTCTATGACTATCATAGTATGATATGTCATAGAATGTAAATCATAGCTGTCAAAAGATAGTCATACCTATGATATTGTAAAGACAGTCAAAAGTGAAAATATGTTACTATGAAAAACTGTTACTATTCTTATCTTATACGAATATTTCATATATTTTTTCACTATAATTATCGCGATAAACATGAAATTATTATATGAATAGGCCTGGAGTTAAAAATCTGAGTTGATAATTAGTTTGAATTTTATAGTTAGAACTTTTAATATCTGGTACATAGATAGCCCGTGCAGATACGTTAATAAACTACAATATAAAGAAAGAAATATTATAAATATTTATTAAAAATTATCATTACAAAGAAAAGGATTTCAAATTGTACGCCGCAGGAGATTCAAATTTTGAATGACGAATTGAAGAAGAAATAAATCTTTACTATTTAGTAGATTAAGCGACAGAACAAAAAGTGCCAAAAAAGATAGCCTCTCCCAGTATGGAGCTACATATATGGTTTATGTATAGACTTTTAGGAATATTTTTTAGCCTTGTTTGGGCCCCTTTTTCAAAAACTCTAGATCTCATTCTGCATGTTTCATGAGCAAATAAAAAAATAGTGTGATGTCGTAACATTTATGACAATCATAAGACCAGCATAAGTCATGTCCCGTGGCGTCTTAAGTGTACAATCAAAGTTATGAATTTCATGACATGAGACCCCTTCGAATAATTATTTTTAGACATGTCCTTAAACCATTGTAAGACATGTCTTAATCATAAGATACTTTAAAAAACAATGCCTCATGTCTTGTTTTTCAATTTCCTCCTTGTCCCTCATATAAATAATTGCAAATCCATGATACTCTACGTGAACAGATCTACAAAGTTTTAAAAGGTGGTGCTATGTAAATGTGACCTGCAGTCACCTATCATTTGCCCGCTACATGTATAACTGTAAATGAATTTTAATATATCCAATAAACAGCAATTTTCAAAGTAATACAAAGAGGATAATCAAAAGATAAAAACGAAAAATCTGAAAGCTTAAGTTAAAGTTAAAGAACAAAATATGCATATTATAGAGATGACAGACTATATGATGTTAATCACATGACGTTGGGTGACTGGCAGTAACCCTTCACATAAGCTTTTATCCTCGTGCGAATGTTATTCGTAAAAAGAAATGTTGCCGGTTTATTCGTGCCTGTTTATTCGCGTGAGCTTAATGCCGATTAACAATTATTATTCAACTAAGGAATACACGTTTCAAATAAAATAAATGGAAGATACCAATTGTCATTTTACAAATTTCGAATTACAACTAAACATATCACAAATGTACAAATTACAAAAGTACATATCACAAATGTACAAATTACAAAAGTGCATATCACAAATGTACAAATTACAGAAGTACATACCACAAATTTACAAGTTTTTTTTATAATTACTACAGTTTGTTTATATGAAAATAGATAAAATATGCTACTTATATGTTCTTTGAACTGTCAAGGTCTTGGGGGGGAAAAGGAAAAAAAAAGGCAAAGACTTTATGAATGGTGTAAACAACAAAAGTGCAATATACTATTCGCACAAGAAACTCACTTTGTACGATATAATGTCAATGATATAAAAAATGAGTTTGAGGGAAAAACATACCACACCATATTTTAACGATATTGCATGCAACTCGTATAAAAAAGAGAACATCCAGGAGGGAAGGCCTGGGGTAATTCCATATAGAATCATGTGCAAAACAGTGTAGCCGAGACCATTGATTGGCGCGCTAAAATATCCCATTGACTGGGTCAACCCCACAGTTTAAATGTTTATAATAAATACGTCGTGAGTTGTGGGCGTTACAGACGAACGTTCACCTAATCTGACCCAGTCAATGGGATATTTTAGCGCGCCAACCAATGGTCTCGGCTACACTGTTTTGCACATGATTCTAATTGAAGATATATACAACAACAAAAAATGTATATAATGCGCCAAAATGATTTGGACGATTTTATACTAGAAATTTATATAAATCGTGAAAAACATGATATTTCTTTTTTTTTTTTG